TATATTAATTAATAATAATTAATTTAATTTAAATATATTTCACATGCAACTAGGTAACAATCCAATCAATATCCCCCTAATATATATATGTATATACCCTAGGGTACACCAAAGTCGCAACGTATGCAATGATGTGCAATGAAGGGGTGTCACATGGCAGCAGGGGGGGGTTGGGTGCGTGGCTGGTGGCAAGCGGCAAACGGCAAGCGGCACGTTTAATGAATCTAATTAAAAGTCAACAATGGCAAACGAGATAATCGTCATAGAGAGGCAGAGCCAGAGGCAGAGGCAGACAGCAGCAGCAGCAGGAAGGAGGGTGCAGCCACAGATGGCAGGGAGTACGACGGGGTGGGGGGTTTTTGGGTGGATTTAACGCTTGCCACAACGCATGCGCAACATGCAGACACAACAGCTGATTAAAGAGAGAGAGAGGAGACAGATAGGGGGGGAGAGCGCGCTGCCATTAGATGCTTATCGCTTGAGAAAGAAGAAAACGTTTTTGCATCTGCAGAAAAAAAAAGTTGCCAGGGAAATGGAAATAAACCAAACGCCGATAAGCATCAGAGGAGGAGCAGCAGCAAGAGCAAGGAGTTGGGGGGGGGAAGGAAAAGAGTGGCTGGGAGGGCAGACATAAAGATAGATCAACGCTGCGCGATTATAAGCCAGAGAGGAATGAAGGAAAAGCTGAACAAAAGCCCCCGAGAGCCCAAAAAAAAAAACAACAACTAAAGAGAGAGAGAGAGAGAGAGAGAGAATGAGATGATGCAGATGTGGAGATACCGATACAGAAGAGATATAGCTGGAGGGGGGGATGTGGAAGTGGAAGTGGATGTGCTGGATGGAGGGAGGGGGGGATTGCAGCAGGTGGAATAAGTCCAACGAATGATAACAGATCCATTCCACTGTAGCCGTAACTCCACTTCCACTGTGCTGCCTTCCTTCCCCTTGCTGCCCCCTCCGCACTGCTTGCCTCCCATGCGCTGTGCACCGTTCTCTGTTTCGCTTCATGTGCATTTCTCAGATACAGATACACAGATACAATTAAACACAAAACGCTTATCACTAAGCAATAATCAGAATTCCATTAGCCGTAGACGCGATATCGCTCGCAAGCATCTCCTCGCACAGCCAACACACAGCACAGCACAGCACAACACACCCCTCCGCAGCCAAATGTATCTTTGTATCTGTATCTGCAACTGTGTGCATGTGTGTGTATCCGTTTGTTGCCGCTGCTGGTTGGTTGGTTTGGCTTGGCTTGGCTTGGCCTGGCCTGGCCTGGCTCGCCTTCCCAACTCATTCGCTCGCTCGCTGTTCGCTGCTCGCGATGTTATCTAACTGCGCGCCGCACCGCGCTCTCCTTATCAGTGCTTTATCAGTTTTTGTTTCGAATAATTTCGAACCGACGACGAAGGAAGTCGACCACAGCAGAGGCAGCACAGCAGAGGCAGCAGAGCTGTGAGCAGAGAGCTGGGAGCAGCAGCGGCTGTGTGTGTGTGGAAGATATCTTATTTCAGTTGGCAGCGAACCGAGGAGCCGGGCAAACTGCGACTGCGACTGCGAGTGTTTCGGATGCAGATACGAATCCAAATCCAAAGAGAAACAGAGCCACAAAGAGAGAGAGAGAGACTCTTGAGTGCGACTGAAGGCAGAGATAGGGCAGCAGATAGACGTTCTGGCAGACACTGGCAAATGAAAGATAAACCTCCTCAACGTCCACATCCACAAGATACAATATATATATCCACAGACAGCAGAACAGCAGACACAGAGCCACAGCCACAGCCACATCCCGGCATCAACAAACATCAGCTGTGCCTCGTCAGCGCCCGTTGCCGGTCGCTCGGTTCGTCGTCGTCGTCGTCGTCATTCGATTCGGCCAACTCTCGGTATCTCTCTTATATCTCTCACACAGATACTCTCGTACACACACACACAGATACAGATACAGGCGCACACGAAAATTTCATTACTCACCGCCGTGCCGGCCGCCCCAGCAGCGCCTGACACTGAACCGCTGCTGCTGCTGCCACTGCCTGCTGCCTGGTGCCGTGCCCCGAGTTTCAGTTTGCCATAGAACGCGGACCGAGCAGCAAGCGGACACTCGACACACGACACACACAGGGCAAAAGATAGAGATATCATCACGTTCCTCATATTAAATACGAAAATTTGAATAATACGAGTGTTAGTTGTGAGTGCGAAACGAGTCGCAAGTGAGTGCGAATGAATATCCAAGTGAATAATGGCAAGTGAATGAAATGCTAACACACGACAAAAAAAAACAACAACAACAACATGTGTGTGATCAAAAGTGAAGCCAAAAAGTAACAAAAAAAAAAAAAACAAAGAAAAAATAAACCTCGGATTAGCCGCTACCCTGGGAAATAACAACAACAACAACAATGCTAAGCAGCAGCACAAGAGGTGAGAGAAGTGGCTGTTAAACTGCAGGTTAAAGCTGGATAAAAGCGTAAAGATGCTGATGAGGTTGGGCATGGTAGAAAGGCAGAAGAAATCCAGCAAAAAGCTGGCATGGGACTGGGACTATTTTCAGTGTAAAAGTAGTGCTGGAGCAATGATTCACTGGAACGGAAGGGATCTTTGTATAGTACATATGTAAACAAAGTTAAGCGGAAATTAAAGCAAGTTTATGAGTACACAGATGTAAGCTGAACAACAGGCCAGAACGAACAGCGCAGAAACAATGAAATGGAAGCCATTAAATTACCTTAAACATGAACCAAATAGCGCTGGGCATTAGCTAAAGTGATACTAGGGCTAGCAGACAGTTGCAGATACCTTTAGCATAGATACACCCATAAGATGTATAGTCGCAGAAATCTATGTGGCTAGTGGGGCTAAATCGGAGGCAGAACTGCCCCATAAAACTACAAAAATCTATAAAGAAATCCTAGAAAACAGAACAAGTAACATAAAGATTAAAATCAAAAGGAGATGCAACCAACAAATGATAAAGATCGAGCCCATGCAAAGATGAATCATCGACTGGGATGGAAAGATCGGAAAACTATAAAAATGAAAGCCACAGTCAGAGCCAAGCTTAAACTTTAAACTCTGACTCTGGCAGCAGTCCCAGCCCCCTCTCAAGTCCCCAACAAATGACCCACTAAACGGGAACATATAAAAGATGATTTCCCACCAAGAAGAAGCTCCCCTTTGAGTGGTAGCCAAAAAAGTCGGAGCAACCTGTAAGCCCTGCCGATGTGTGGGTGTGCGGTAAGAGAATGAAATCCCGCCAATTGCTGTCGAACACTTGGACTTCAGACGACTCCTCGACGCACACGTTGAGGGGAGAGAGAGAGAGAAAGGGTTGGGGCCTCAGGTTGCCCTGCCCTGCCTTGCCTTGGCTTGGCTTGGCTTGGCTTTGCCCCACGTTGGAGCTGTGGGGCTCAGGCGAGTGTGTCCGGCTGGGCTGTGAGTCCAAGCGTCCGAGTCCATTCCAGCCAGCTTTCAGTTGCTTATCAGTCGACTATCTGCGCTGTGTGGCTTCACATTCATTCCATGGCCAGAGAGCTCCACAGAGAGAGAGAGCCATATGTGTGTGTGTGTGTGTGCTTTGCTATCTGCAATCTGTGGCAAGCGAATGAGAAGAGGCAGAGGAGGATGAAGAGGCAGAGGAGGATGAAGAGGCAGAAGAGGATGAAGAGGCAGAAGAGGCAGAGGAAGAAGGAGAAATAAAAACGAAGGAATTCTGCGGATTGTTGTTATTATTGTTATTATAATTCCTTGAAGTGAATAATCAGCGAAATATAATCAAAAAAATGAGAGAGAAAAAAAACAGCACACAAAACGAAAGACGAAGACGAGTCAACGGGTACACAGTACAGAGTGGGGAGTGGGGAGTGTGGAAGGGGAGGGGGTGTGTGTGTGTGTGTGCTGTGTGTAGGCTAGTGTACTGCGGTGTGTAGTGCTGTGTAATGGGACTGGAGACGCGCTTGAACACCGGCAAACCTCGGCGACGGACGGGACTACTGTGCGTAGCCCCCCAAACACACACATACAAACACACAACAGAGATACAAAGATACAAAGATACTAGAAACAGAACAGAAAATGGGCGGGGTGGGGCGGCTTCTGGTGGGGACAGGACAAGCACAGAAAACAAACAGTGTTTCACTCGAACAGCAATTATGATGATCGCCTATAGGGCGGGTAATCGTTATCCCCTTTAGCACACACACAGGGGATTATCTTTTAACTATTATGGAAGGGTGTGCAGAGGGCGGGGAACGTAGTAGCATAGCAGCTGAGAGTAATATCTGCGAGCAATCTACTGAAAATAATCAGTTACTATTACTTTTAAGGGCTAACTATATTTGCAAGACATTTTTCTTTGATTGGGAAAGATCTAAGCAGCATTCTGAGGCTTCCCATAAGCCCTTCCCTTCCCTTCCCTGAAGCCATTATCTCTTACCAGATATGTATGTATATATTTATATGCACCAAAGGTCTGCATGCATTTTTCCACATTTTTCAACATACTAAATTTGGTTAGGAAAGATTACCATCAAAAAGTATTCCAAACAATTCATTTTCGGAGGAAAAGATCCCTTTTAAGTATCTGCCAGGCAAAATTTAAATTTGCTTCATAATTTCTGCCCTCATTAATGGCCCTTATCTATGAGTAAATGCTCTAAGCGTGGGAAATATATACCCCTAAATTATTGCCTTGGATATTGGCTCCACCCTATAGATATTTCTATGAAATTTATCAATCGCTTTTTATCCCTTAGATGTGTATTTGTAAGATTTGCAGTTCTACGATATTTAACTCTGAAATTAGCAGCTCTAATTGTTCTCCTGTGCTGGTTCTGGTCACCTCCTACCCATTCTCTGTGCTCAAATATATTGCCTTGAAATCTTTTAATTTTTTCCCTAAAGAAATGTATCTATAATATTTGTAACTCCTCCATTTATGTCACCAACTTCTTTCTGTGTCTCTAACAATCTCTAACATTGTGCTCTCCCTGTTTCAGGTGATTGTTCCGATACCACAGAAGAGATGACCGTTGACAGCAGAGGTACGTACCAAGCCCTTGAAGCAGCAACATCCTGCAGCAAGTTAAACTCCTATCCATCCTATCCTTTATCCTCTATACCCTGCATTCCCACCCAACCCCTTCGATGTGCCGCCAGCCCCGCTGTCCACTGTTCAATCCGCGATAAGTTTAAGCTTAAACGAAATGGGCCAAAGCCAAAAAATAAATTCTTATCTGTTCGAATGCAGGGAAACAGACACTGTCTCTGCCCCCCCCCCGCACGCTCTCCATCAGACATAACCCGTTAATGCCCCAATAATAAATTTCCTCGATGTGTAGACCCACCCCCTGCTCCTCCTCCCCCGCCCCCTCCAGCATCGCTTTTCCCTGGCATTCTGCGGGCTGCTGATATTTTGCCAATAAAAATTTAATCCCAAAAAAGATGAACACAGGAGAAAGCTCTCTAATTTAATACAACTTTTTTCTGGTTGTTGTTATCAGTGCAGTGACACTGCGTAGCTACCCCTGCCACTGCCACTACCCCTGTTCTACCCCCTCCATAGAGCAGTGGCTCTCTGCGGTTTTTGGTGATTTTTGACACCTTCAGCAGGACCTCAGCGGGAAAACCTCAGAAACCCTAAGCCTCCAAATGAACCCTTCCACCCAAAATGGAAACGGAATAGCAGCCAAAAAGGGAGGGCAGGTTGCCACAAGCCACACACAACCCTCGTCGTTTCAGTCACTTCGACGATGGACTGCAGGAAATGACAACGGGTCAAGTTCTCTCTCCCTCTCTCGCTCTCTCGCTCTCTCCCTCTCTCGCTCTCTCTCTCTCTCTCTCTGTTTGTTGTCACCCCTTTCCCTGGGTACTGCTCGTGGCCTTTCACTCAGCCATCCTTCTTTTGCTTCCCCCCACCACCCCGGGATATGTATTTTGACTTGACTCTTCTGGTGGCCTGGCCTGGGGCATCATTGGCATCAATTTCATATCACTTCATAATCATCAGGCAATGTCAACGTCATTGAGACGACGATGTCTGCCATGAACCCATGACACCACCCCATCCCATCCCATCCCATCCCATCCCATCTCAACCCTCTGTTTGCTACCGTATTCGCTGCCTTTCTCTGCCTTCGCCGCCTGCTGTGCCTTCCCGTGTGCTCTATTTTGGACAGGAGCGGACTGCGGGTGACACTATTTCTGATAACAGGGAATATAAATAAAATATAAATTTTCCTGTGGAACGATACTCTCATGGAAATAGTCCTTTAGTCTTGAGATCTTTTGAATATTTCATCCTTTGGGCACGCTTAATACTTAGTAAGCGTTCATAAGCATGGGAGCTGGGACTATTGTTTAAACGAGTATCTATAAATTTCTATATTTTCTGGCTACTGTTTTCTGGAGAATAAAGCTAACAAATTCCATGGCTTCGAATTTTTAAACTTTCATTGGTTTCTTGTGGGTGTTTTCCTGCAACTTTAATGCTTCGAATTTCTATAGAAATTCAGCTGCCAGATCTTCGTAGATCTTATGGGGCGAACTTCTGTGGGAAGTTGAATATTTGTGAATAAAATTAATTGCGAAATAGAATTTCTAGATGTTTCTAGGGATTATTGGGGAACTGCAAATTGCTATCTTTTGGTAAGAGAGATTACTGTAGATACATATCTCCTTGAATTCCTATAAAAACCTCCATATTTGATTCATTTTTGGGGAATCATTTATCAACTACCATGCACCCTTTCTAGCCCGCTGTCTTTCTGCTTAAACCGTTCCTGTCGCTTTTTTGATCTAACCTGCAACATTCCACACCATTTCGCTGCCATCTCAAGCATTCATCATTAATAATCCTTTCCCCGCCGAAAAACGGGCGGGCAATTGAAGCGCCTCTCTCCGCGCCTCGCCTCGCCCCCGCCCCACTGTCCATCCAGCAGCAGCAGCCTCTCTCGCTCCTATCGCAGCCCTTCCACGTGGCCCGTTTTTGTGCTGCGTCAGTGAAAGATATTCCACAGCAGCAGCGGCAGCAGCAGCCGCACACACTCGCTCTCACACCAGATAGGGGATAGGAGAGGCAGGAGGCCCAGAGAGTCGAGTGGCCAGTGGGCGTAACAGTTTGCCTAAAAAAAAAGTGGGCGTTTGTCTGTTGGGCTAATCTTTATCTGGCTGTTGACACTCCATGGCGACGGCGACGGCCAAGCGAACCCGGCACCCAGGAACACACCGATAGACACAGAGAGAGAGAGAGAGAGGGAGAGAGAGTGAGAAAGAGCCAGAGAAAAAGTGTGGCACATTCCTTGGGGGCCCTCGCCCTCCTGCCACCCACCCACCTACCGCACTGGCACTGGCCCTGGCACTCGCACTCGCACTCCATCCTGCAACTGTGCTCTGGCTGTGCCACACTTTGTGTCCAATAGATACGCGAGCTCTGCACTCGTACACTTGCATTTAGTTAGCTTGGCTCCATGGATTGGCATTAACTTTAGTGGCAGTTGATCTTTGGTTTGGTTTTGTGGTTTAATTTATGGCTGCTGCTTTGTATCTTTGCTGGTATCTGGTATCCAGAGAACACTGAAAGGATCATACATATTTCTTCGATTTCTGTGGATTATTCCCTGCCTTTGAACACTGAAAGGATCGTACATATTTATATAATTTCTGTGGATTATTCCCTGCCTTTGTGTGCCTATTTTAGGATGGATTGTGCATTGGATATCATTTCCCCTATCAATGCTACTATTTCCTTTATTTTTTGTTGATTACTCTTGGTGCAACTTTTAGATTCTTCTAATGAAATTTGTACTAGTTCTTGGCAGGGCATACCATATGCGTATGCCTTTGCTGCTTCTTGTCTCTTTCCTGTGAAGATTGATCATGTGATTGATCGTGCTTTCGTGTGACTCTTCAATGATTCCCGTCATTGGATCCTTCATTGAATTCTGTAGGATATTTCCTGCCACTCCTGGCACAGGGTATTCCATCTTCCTGATATCTTTTGGCTCTGCTGCTTGGCCTCTGATGTTTTGTGTTTGTTTTTGTTTTGTGGCTTGCTATTGATGGCACTCTGCTTGCCACTGCTGCTGCTGCCACACTTGCTACACTTGTCTCTGCCTCTGCTGCTGCTGCTGCTGCATCTACTGCTGATGATGATGATGATGATGATGACGTTGCTCACTTTTGGCGCTCTTCATTTGCTGTGGCTGCTGCTGCTGCTGCTCTCTCCTCCTCCTTTTGCTGTTGCTGCTGCTGCTGCTCCTCCTCCTCTGCTGCTGCTGCTGCTCCTCTTGCTGTTGCTGCTGTTGTTGCTGTTGCTGCTCTTCTTGCCACTGATGATGCTGCTGCTGTGCAATGTACTGTAAGCGCCTGTCCCTGTCCCTGTCCTTCCTGTATTCCCTGTGCGCCTGTCCTTGCCTCTAGTCGTATCTTTGTGTCTCCCTCTCTCTCTCTGTGTGTGTGTATGCTTATGTGTGTGTGTGTGTGTACACTGGGGGTTTTTATCTATGAAATTCATGAATGCTTTGGCTTATCTTGCAGAATTGCATACTTGCAGCAAGCCACAGCCCGTCCTGGCCTGGCTTTTTGGTTGGTTGCCTCTGCCTGCCTGCCTGCCTGCTCCTCCTTGTTGTTTGCCCCCGCCCTGCGGTTTGTTGGCTGCCTTCTAATGGCGCTAAGTGGTGACCCGCTAGCCCCACTCCACACATGGCATGTGTGTGTCTCCCTCTCACTCGCTCGCTCTATCTCTCGCTCTTTCTCTGCTTCTCTAATGGCATTTTATCTATGGCATAATTTTTTATTATGTCTCCCTAGCGCCTCCCTGCCCCTGTGGTTGCCTGCCCGTTGGCTTAATGACAATCCTCTGCACAATCCACCCAGAGAGTGAGTGAGAGAGAGAGAGAGAAACCCCACACGCAGCACCACACTCCGACATCAAGTCAAATTGTTAGATAGCTTTTCGGCATGTAATTAATCATTTGACAAGGTTCAAGCTTCAAGAGCTTTACGAAACGGGTGGGTATCAGAGGGGTGCGGTGTGTGCGGTACCCACAAAGTTTTCTCTTTTTTTTCGAGCGGGGGGGGGCAACGTTGCATTTGCTGCGGGCAGCAGGCAGGCAGGCAACTGCTGCAATGTGGCGGGGGGAGGAAAAAAAAACCATTACACGGCGCTCACGACTCACCTGCGTTATCATTAGCGTTCCATCAACATGCCTCTTACCATATCTCGTACCCCTATGGCCCACCGCAGCCCACCGCAACCCCTTAACCCCTCTGTGGCGTCGCTTTTTTTCGGGTAGAAAATATTACGCATACGCAGTGGGGGCCCACATGAGAGGTTTGATTTGAGGGAAATATAATTGAAAATAACTGTGGCAAATAAGAAGGAGGTGGAATAATATATCTATATGCTAATTATGATGATAGAATATTTTTATTTTTATATACAAACTGCTGAAACTCTGAACTCTTAAGCTGCCAGTCTTGGGGAAAAACTATGAACAGATATACATAATGTAAAGTAAATAATCTTCTAAAGGGAGCTGCAGTTTAAATTGGTTTGACTAAAGTCATTGCACCTTTGGGCTTATTCGCAGAACGAAATATCTGGGAATCAAAGTGTTGACTTCTTTCTGCAGATTATTCTCTCTAAGCAGCAATCAAAAGAGATATCTTACTCTTTGCTGTTCAGGACTGTAACAGATCTCTAATTGGTTCTCTTCTTCACTCCAAAAAATAGACCCGCATTATTTATCCATCCAGTATTCTTCAAATTCCTTCCGTTTATAGTTTGAAACTTAAAAAAAAAACAACACCATAAAGTCCCCAAAGAAGGGGTCATCATAGCTATAGCTCCCAAAATTCTTGAGTCACATTTCAAATTCAAATTTCGTGCAAGAAAGTGCTGCACCCTTTGCTCTGCCTGCTGCTGCTGCTCCTGTGTGCCACAAAGAATGATGATAAAGAGTCGTATAATGCCTGCCATATACATAAAAAAATTACAACATAAATCACACACACACACACGCATACACTCACATACATATAC